GGAATATTATGTTTTTTTTTTGTTTTTTTGGTTGGGGGACTGCTTCGTGAAAATTATTTACAGTATAAGCGGAAATTGCGAAAAAAAACTGCTCACTACTATTTTTGTTGCGGTCTCTCTTGTGTAATCCTGGAATAAATAAGTGCTTTTATTTAATTATATACCGTCTTGTTCCTGGTTTGCTTGAAGGAGAATGGTAACATTCGCTCATCTCCTTAGAAATATAGACAGTTTTTAATAAATATGGCCAGAGAGACAGGTATATTTCAGAAATATCATTATCTGGCCAGAACAGCAGAGTCTGAAGAAAATATTGTCGAGTTTTCATACATTTTAGGTGTAAGCAAATTGGAAATAACAGTTGCTATCCATAGACAAATTTGTGTTATACAGTGTAATAGATGAGACAATAATCCCAGAATCGTAATGGCAATATTTGCCTTTTCCCTATAAGGAAACATTTTGCATTAAGCCAGTACTCTTTTCAGTTGGAATTTATAAAATCTCACGCATCAAAGAATTTTTCAGTAAAACCGTTTTCTCAAATCCATTAGCTTTTATCGATTAGTGGGGGTCTCTTTCTAACCTATTAGCTAAAGTAATGTGGAAATGCCAGTATCTTGCTGTAGCCAGTTTTGGGATAAAAGCGTTGATTGTTTGATAAATAGAATTACTTGACTCAGGGAGTTGTGAGTTCAATACCTGACCAAGGCAGGGGTGAACAAAATCTTGGAGAATTGATTTATCAAAGACAATTAAATGAAACGGAGATAACCAGAAAGAGGCATGGCAGGTGGAATTAGAACACTCTACTGCCGTGGACTAAATAAAAGTTTCAGTTTGAAATTCCAAGAGATATATCCTGAAGAAGGCCAGAGCGTACAACGAACGAAATGTCGTGAATATGACAAGAAAAATGAGGACACCAGTCCGATTAATCTAAATAATGTAAAAAAAAAAAAAGTTCCATCCGTTCTACCATGTATGCGACTAATGTCCGATACTGTTCTATTACGGAATTGGCATCCTGTTATTTTATTGTCATATTCACGACGTTTCGACCGTGGTACGTCCCGGTCTTCTTCAGGAGATATTTGTTGGAATTTCTGACCGAACCCTTTATTTAGTCCACGGGGGTAGATTGTTCTAATTCCACGTGCCATGCCCTTTTCTGGTTATCAGAGTTTTCGTGTCGGCTTCCAAGTGGTGCAGACGGTAAGTTCTATCTAGTACTTATCCACTGAGCCTGGTGTTCTTAGGGGACAAAGGCCGACACGTTGAGAATATGGCAGTAAAGATGAGGATAACATTCTGAACAAGATAAATAGTGAAAATAGTTACAATACCTCATCTCAGAAATATAGACAGACTCTGAAGAAGGTCGGGGCGTACAGCGGCTGAAACGGCGTGAATGTAGCAGTAAAGATGAGAATAACATTCTTAACAATGTAAATAGTGTAAATAGATACAATGCCACATCTCAGAAATATAGAAAGATCCTGAAGAAGGTCGGAGCGTACAACGACCGAAACGTCGTGAATATAGCAGTAAAGATGATGACAACATTTTGAAAAATGTAAATAGTGTAAATAGTTACAATGCCTCATCTCAGAAATATAGACAGATCCTGAAGAAGGTCGGGGCGTACAACGGCCGAAGCGTCGTGAATATAGCAGTAAAGATGAAGACAACATTCTGAATAATGTAAATTGTGTAAATAGTTAAAATGCTTCATCTCATAAATATTGACAGATCGTGAAGACGGTCGGAGAGTACAACGACCGAAACGTGAATATAGCAGTAAAGATGATGACAACATTCTGAATAATGTAAATTGTGTAAATAGTTATAATGCCTCATCTCAAAAATATAGACAGATCCTGAAGAAGGTCGGAGCGTACAACGACCGAAATGTCGTGAATACAGCAGTAAAGATGCGGATAACATTCTGAACAACGTAAATAGTGTAAATAGTTACAATGCCTCATCTTAGAAATATAGACATATGCTGAAGAATGTTGGGGCGTACAGCGGCCGAAACGTCTTGAATGGAGCAGTAAAGATGGAGATAACTTTCTGAACAATGTAAATTGTGTAAATAGATATAATGACACATCTCAGAAATATAGACAGATCCTGAAGAAGATCGGAGCGTACGACGGCCGAAACGTCGTGTATAGGCCAATGAAGATGATGCCAACAGTCCGAAGAATTTAAATATGTAAATAAATGCAAAACCTCATCTCAGAAATATAGGCTGAGACTTTATTGTATAGTTTACGATATATGCAGTTGACCTCCGTATTAATTCTAGACAACTTGAGGTTATTAGAAAGCACATCATGCCAGTTCTAGCTAAATTAAGCAATTTTCTGTAAAATGAGAAAGAAAATACGTCGTATACCCGACGGTATTACTTTCCCTCGTCAGAAGAAATAAAATAGAGGTCGTCTTCCTTACTATTATATCAACAACCCTTGTCAGTCGGCTCGATTCCGCTGGAGTTTTTGTCTGCTGTGTTTCGCATCAAGTAGCTGGGCAGTCAGTGGGTCAGTTGACTATTGCTAATAATCCCATAATCAAGTTGTCCATTCTTTTTTGGCCTCCGTCTTTTCTGGTCCGGCCGAGCGAGCAGCCGTCTGTTGTTGCATCGTCAAGTCTCCGGGTCAGCTGCTGACAGCGTATAATTTCGTTTTGTCCACTTTTACCTGTCTTCCTTCCCTAACCCCCGGACCGACTCCAAAACCGTCTGTCCACTCGATCCTTTCATCTTTTCTCCGTTTCACCGTCGGCTGTCGCTGCTACTCGTCTGCAGCCGTCTAAGATTATTTTCCGAACTAATTTATCGCACATCGGCTCCGATTTTAACAACCACCCGGTACAAAGGCACTTTGAATAATAGTCCAGGGGAATTTGTTTCATGCCTTTCTTATCATCATGAGAGAGTCACCCAAAAGAATAATAATATTAATAATAATAAAATATTCTCGTTAAATGTTAATGTTGCGTCGTCCAAGAACTTGACTGTTATAGAAGAACCTAGTCATTTTTTTAAATTAATTCACTCCAACCAAGGCGATAATGCCACTAAGATGCAACTAACTACTAGGAGTGAAAGAGAATAAAAAAAAAAAATTTTTTAAAGGAAGTGGCAGCTCAATCTTAGACAGGGAACAAGGGATACATCTCTACTCTTGTTCAAAAGACAGAGAAGGTGTTTGAACCGGGCGATGGGCGAAAACATTTGCCCCTATATTTCTGGAATAAACACGGAACATCTTACGGGGCATTTTACATAAAAGGCTCGAGAGCAATTCAAGTCAGAGAAAATATGAGGCATAAGATTTTTTTTTAAATTATTTCATCCCAAGAAAAGGCGGTAAAGTCACAAACACGCGGAGGTTAGGGGGGGTACAAGAAGTCAGATAAAACGAGAAAACTTTAGTGATGTGAAGTGAGAGAAAGAGAATAAAGGGACAAAAAGGGATCAGTCAGATAGATGCTGACGATTGACGTTGATTTAAATATTTTGACATTTGTTTTTTTTTTTTTTTTTTTCATCCTGAAGAAATTACGCCAGCCGTTCAAGATTATTTTCGAACTAATTTAGGGTCTGGATTTAAGTGAAGCCACTAGGATGCAGGGGTTGCAGAAGATTTGGAACGAGATTAATAAGATAGGAAATGTGATAGAAGAAAGGATGAGGAGGGATAGTGGATAGATCAAGACAACTGGAGATGTCGATTGACATTACATTTGAATAGTTGGAGATTATAGCTCTCAGGGAAACAGTAAAATTAAAAATTTTTTAAATTATTTTAACCAAGGCCAGGTGTTCCACAGGATAAACGAGAGGTGCGAGGTATGAAGCTATTGGAGTAGAAGAGACGGCTACATTTAGGAGTTTCTACAGTGAAAAGGTAAGAGCGGGATGCCAGCCTCGTAGGGCGCTTGATTTCATGAAGTCTTGGAACCAGTGAAACCAATGAATTTGTGCAGAAAAGAGTTGTAAGTTTTCTGGGCCACCAGGAACAGCCTCGTCTTGCCACTGTCAAACGGAGAAAAAAAGGCGTGGTTTGGTCACATTACAAGGCACTGTGAATGACCATCGTGCAAGGCAACGTTGAATGTAAAAACTGGTTGGACAATGTCAAACAATCGACTGGTATGACTGTCATGGTCGAGGTTAGGACCAAGGAAGAACAACACGAACACAAGAGTAGAAATAACGAAGGTATATTACACGAAATAATAATACAAGATGTGGAAGGTGTTATTATGACTGTCAGTCTGTTTTGGAGTGAACTACTATAGGCTCGACTCGATTCAGTATCTACCCCACCCTCACAAGGGTTGCATGTGACACAAGGCCAGGTTTAACGTGGGTTTCCCGAGCCCGTATGCTCGGCCAAAAAATGCACGTAGAAACTGTAAAAAGAGAATCGGGTTGGTCAACTTCCCCGAACGAGGCACTGCCCTTCGGCGGAGCCTCGTCCGGGTTCCTCTCTGCTCAGAGGCAGAGAGTTCGACCGTCAAGCCGAATAGCTCGGTTTGATTCGGAATCTAGCCAAACGAGGGTTGCATATGGCACAAGGCCGAGTTTAACGTGGGTTTCCCTAGGCAATCGGCTAGGCCAAAAAATGCCCGTAGAACCCGTATAAATGGGATCGGGTTGGTCAATCTCCCCGAATGAGACTCTGTCCTTCGGCGGAGTATCGTCCGGGTTCCTCTCTTGAGAGGGGTAGTATACATAGTGTTAGGAAGAGTTCATTCTGTAGATATAGGTAAGGACCCATGACAATGATAATCCCAGAATTACTGATGGTTGATAGACCGTTGTGGATGAGATTTAGTGTGTCCTCTGCAATCGGATCCACTCTAAGATTAAAAAGTCAGGGGGATGATGATGATAATGATGATGATGTTGAATATAAAGAACCCGACTGGAGTTGGAACTCGGCTATCGTCTTTATCGTTTTTCACCACCCGCACCTCCAAGATTTCAGCACCTGGTATTCCCTAAACGGTCACCTATCTAGGTACTGACCAATCTCGACGTTGCTTAACTTCGGTGATTGTACGGGAACTTCTGCTTTAACGTGATATGGACGTAAGCACAAACTTGAAGAAATGGACAAGTATGACTTCCAGAATTGCTAATGGATGCCGTTGATAGAACGTTGTGGAGGACGTTGTTTCTGCATTCGGATCCCCACCCCCATTGCTATAACAAAAGTCAAGAGGATGATGATGATGATGAATACAATGAACCCGACTGGAATTGGAACTCGGCTACCCAATTCCATGTCTTTAACCTGTTCACCTCAAAGATTACAGCACTTGGTTTTCCCTAACTGCTCACCGGTCTCGACGTTGCTTAATTTCGGTGATTGTACGGGAACCTGTGTTTTAATATGATATGGACGTAAACCCGAACTTGAAGAAATTGACAGATATGACGATACCAGAACTGCTGATGACTGCCGTTGATGGACCGTTGTGTAGGAGATTTAGTGTGGTTTCTATATTCGGATCCGCCCTAAGATTAAAAACGTCAAGGGGATGATGGTTATCATCATCATCATCATCATCCTCATGGTGGCAGAGTAGCAAGATATCTGAAGGTATTTCCACAGGCGAGATGTGCGAGAAAATAAAAACTGTTAGAATAGAAGAGTCCAAAAGTGAAACGGTGAGGCCTATTAGCTAATCTAATAGCACGCTGAAATTCATGGAGTCGAAGAACTAATGAAAAAAAAGCAGATTAGAATAGTTGCCATAAAAATATTTCTTGAACAGACATTGGGAAGCACGTCACGTCGGCGGGAAAGTAACAGAACTCGACATGCCAGACACTTCTTTGAAATTTGTCGATAATATTGCAGACAATTCTTTGAAATTGGTCAAGAATATCGAGATATACAGCAGGAACAACGGATCTGATATGGCAGCAGTATTCAATGCACGGACGAATGTCAGATTTATAAAAGTGGAGGATGGATGCTGACGAGAAAAACAAAAACCTGGCACGACACAGTGAACTAACTTGACTAGCAGTAGAGGTAGTAATTGGTTGTTGTTCATGATGATGGTCGTCTTTGAAAAGTAAAGTAGCAGAGCGTAGTTCGTCCTTCTTGTCGTCTTTGCCTGACAAGCTGGACTGGACATTCGGGTAGAGTGAACAAAATGGCCGCTTTTATACACGACGGATTGAATATTCTACCTCTTCTGATTGGTTAACCTTCTATTGGTGGACTATAAAGTGAGTCAAGTCATTTGGGCTACCTCACTGGTACATAATATATACGAAAAACTGCAACATTGGTTTGATATTTCACATGATGTCGGCGAGAAAACAGGAGCCAAAGAAGTGGCAAAGTTTTTATGTCCTCGAGTTTAGAGTCAGTCATGGTAATGACACTCAGAAAAGGGGGTGATTAAATGACAACAGTTTTGTTTTGAAATTGCATTACGAATAGAACGTGAATGCAGTCGCGAGGTCCTTGAGTAAGTTGGTCAGTCACTCGATGTCGAACATTAAAGTATCAGCCACCACAACTAGATTGATGCGTCATTAAGTATTATATCAAGTTCCTAACGTTTTGTACGTCGAACCTATTTTAGGCCTCCACTATAAAACTACTCTATAACATATAACTACTCTATAACATATATATATATATATGCGTGTGTGTGTGAAAATATATAGAAAATAGGAAGGAACTGGTTAGGTAAATAATCCTAGGTGCCTTAGTATTTTAGTTATTATTTTTTAAAAATAGTACTCGATAAAAAAAGTAGAGCATAAATATAATTATTTTTAAAAAATATTTATAATTATTTATATATATATATATATATATATATATATATATATATATATATATATATACATACATATATATATATATATATCAGTTAGATCAAGGCTACAGGAATGTAGGACGCCCACGGCTAAGATACAAAAAGACAAGCTGAAAAACAACTTATCAGCAGTTAATATACCACATATCACTTTTGAGCGCTTAGCTTTGGAGGGGTAGTATGGAGATCAGCGTGTTTTAGTGGACTCAGTAATTTTCAATTTGCTTGTCTGAATTATCTTCAAGAATCGAGAGCAGGATCTAAAAGGTCAGCCAATCTAAAAGTCATCTCAATTCGCATGTCACACTTGCTCCATATGTGGCCTCCTTTGTAAATCACTAGCGGGTCTTAAATGCCACTTAAGATTATCGCACAAACTTTCATAACTGAATCAATAAGCTGTCAGAACCTCATAGGCCGAAACCGACCGGAGAGTCCATTAATTAATATATATATATATATATATATATATATATATATATATATATATATATAATATAAGCAATCGTCAGGCCGCCTGACGATTGCATCCAGCATGAAAAGGGCCTGTTGCCTCTGAGTGTTGAATTCAATGTTAACTTTTATATTTACATTTACATACGCTCTATCTCTGATAATTAGCACTTTATCCCATAAATATAGCATACCTTAAAACTACATTTATTCATATATATATATATATATATATATATATTAAAAAGAAGCGACAAACCGCAAAGGTTTTTGGTTGTAATGTCGATGTTTTAAAATATATTATGCTTTTTTTCTCTAACTTTGCAACACGGTTTTGGTTCTTGCGAAATTCTTCAGGCAAAGAGTGGATATTTTACATATTATTAAATTGAATTAATTTTCCTTATGTTTTTCGATGTTAAACATTCTTGATGTTAAACATACAATTTTTTGTATAACTTTCTCACTACCAGTTCAAGAAAGACATCTGCGTCACTATCACACAAAAAATGAATGTTTAACATGTTTTGATTCATTTTAATAATGTGGAAATATCCATTGTTTGCCTGAAGAAGGTTGTGAGACCCGAAACTCGTGTTACAAAAATTATGGAAAATAAAGCCTAATATATATATATATATATATATATATATATATATATATATATATATATATATATATATATATATATATATGCAAGCAAATATATGGATATAGATCCGACAGTATGAAGAAAATATACGGAAAAAACAAAAAAATCCTTATATACAATTATGCAGTTTTAATGTTAATATGTCAACGTCGGACGTTTCGGTCTAATAAACCATCTTCAGGATATATTCATAAAATATAATTAACATTATCAATTCAACATGACAAAGACGATGTACATAAGAACACGACTTATCCAAACAGATAACTGAAAGTTTTATAAGATCAGCGCTCCGTTTAAAACATGGTCTCGTGTTTTCGACATAAGCGAGATATTCGCCTCGGAAATTTAAACAATGCTATAGTTGTACACACAACTATAGCAGATCATATTTTCGATTCCGTGAAGATTTTAAAATATTTTCATAATAAAAATCTTAGGCGGATTTATGAAGCAGGCATAATATCCATCTCATGCACGGTGAATACTAGACCTGGCTTCTTTAGTATTTCCCCTTTTCTAGCAAGATTAATGCTCGAAAAACGTACATATAAGTTCTAGATTAAAATAAAATTCTTTTCGTTTTTCATTCAAAATACTATATTTTAGGAATACGTTTTCACAACATCGCCCACGTGACGCCCACGTGATAATCATAAGTGCAAAAATAATCTTTATACCAATCATCTGTGCACAAAAGGTCTTTAGACCAATGATAGATGCATAAATGTTCTTTACACTAATGATGAGTGCTTAAATAATCTTCTCACCAATCATCTGTGCATAAAAAATCTTTAAACCAAAGATAATTGCATAAAAGATCTTTAGACCAAAGATAATTGCATAAGAGATCTTTAGACCAATGATAAGTGCTTAAATGTTCTTGACACCAATGATAAATGAATAAAAATCTTTACACCAATTATTAGTGTATATAAATCTTTCCACTAATGACAAATGCTTAAAAATCTTGATGGCAATGATAAGACTAAAAAATGTCTTTATGCCAGTGAATAAAGATATTTTGCACCACTAATAATTCTATAAAAATCTTTAGACCATAAAGTGGATAAAGATCTTTAGATCAATGATAAGTGCATAAAAATCTTTACACCAATCATAAGTGTTTAAAAATCTTTACACCAATGACTAGTGCATTACACTAATCATAAGTACATAAAGTATCTTGGCTCCAATGATATGTGCATAAACATTCTTCATACAAATGATAAAAGCATAAAACTTTGCACCAACGGTAAGTGCATAAAATTCTTCACACAAATGCTAAATGCACAAAGCATCTTTACACCAATTGTAAGTGTATAAAAATCTTTACACTAATGATAGGCGAATAAAAATCTTTACAACCATGATAGGTGCATTAAAGCTTTGACACATATCATAAATGCATTAAAAATATTTATATCTATGGCAACTGTATAAATCTTTTACAATGATAAATGCCTAAAATATCTTTACAACAATGACAAGTACATAAAAACCTTCAAACCTATGATAAGTGCATAAAAATCTTTGCACAAATGATGAGCCGATAATTTTTTTTTTACATCACTGATGAGTGGGAAAAAATCTTTAAACTCATGATAAGTGCATGAAAAATAAAAACCGTAATATATACGCGATAAATTGCTGTTACCACCTGATTGTATGAACAGACAGGTCCGTCTGCGTATGTATATATAGATTTTTGACGTTTTATGTTTATATATATATATATATATATATATATATATATATATATATATATATATATTATATATATATATGGATATATATATATATATATGTATGTTTTGTTGATAGATGGGTTTCACCCTTTTCACGCGATCGTCAGACAAACTGATTAATGTCTTAAAAAATTTGGGTTTATGTAGATTGCGTGTATTGGTGTTATTGTGGAAGTGGTGGGGAAATTTCGTCGTTTTGTCATTCATCGTACTAACGCAAACATCTCTGATATCTCTATCTCTGATATTCAGCGCTTTCTAATAAGTACCGCGCATATAATATATAAATAATTATACATATATATATTTATTTATATTTATATACACTTTTTCTACACATATATATATATATATATATATATATATGTATATATATATATATATATATATATATATA